CACACCCTGAAATAGCTATGGCTCTGAGATATGGTCTCTCGGAATGAGGAAAGGTGGAACTATTTGCTTATACCTTATATAATTTGAAAAACAAACAGGATTTCAAGTGTCTATTGCGAACTATAGAATTAAATGAGGTTAAGCCAGTGCAAAAGTTGAAATAGAATCTGTTGTCTGATTAGGAATATTCATGACAGAGATTTCTGTTGCTCAGTCATTCCGTTTCCCCTACTTCCTGGGTATGTGGAATTGGAGTCCTAGAAGAAGACTGGAGAGGATCACAGAAAAAAATATTTTAAGAACTAATGGAGGAGATTTTTCCAAATTTGATGAAAACTAGAGCCACAGAAACGAACTCAACAAAACCCAAGTAGGAAAAAAGAACAACATAGGACATTATAACCAAATTGCTTGAAACCAGTGATAAAGAGAAAATCTTAAAAACAGCTAAAGGAAAAGAGGAACATTATATACTAAAGAACAAGGATGAGAATCACAACAGATTTCACATGGGAAACGATGCAAGCTAGAAGACAGTGACATAACATTCAAAGGTATTGTGAGAAAACTGCAGACAAATATTTCTCATTAACATAGATCCAAAGTTTTTTAAGTTTTAGCAAATGGAACCCAACAATATATTGAGAAGTGAATGCATCATAATCAAGAGAGATTTATCCCAGAAATGCAAGACTGATTAAGAAAATTAGAAAGTATAATTTAACACATTAACATTTAAAAAATAGAAATTATATCATCATCTGAGTAAGTGCAGAGAATACATTTCACAAATTCCAACATCCATTCCTGGTAACAACTAATGGGTCCTTATAGTATAAGTATACAGAACAATTTCTTAGTTGAGGGGCCTAGCGAATAAAGAATGAAAATTAAACGGCATATTCATGAGTAGATTCAGAACAGGGAGCTTTATCTGTGTAGTTTGTTCATCAGACAAAAAAGAAGACTTCATTATTTCACATTAGAATTCTCGTAGTACACAGAAACATTTTTCTTAGGCATTTCAACACCTTTTACAGAGTTAGCAACTATTCAAAGCTCTTTTCACGTGCTGCTGAGTCAGCTTTGCTCCTGGCAACCCTATGAGTGATTAATGTTCACAATGTCCTGTCTTCGGCAGCCCTGTCTACCTCCCGTAGACTTGTGCTAATGGCTTCTTATTGAAGGAAGATGTCTGTTGAAGAAGTGGTCATATTTTTAAACAAGTTAATTATATTTCGCCAGAATGTTTATAACTCAGTGGAAGCTTATTTAATTTTATCAGTGGATAGTCTATTAGAATTAATTCAAAATAATGAAATTTTTGTTCTTTAAATACTTGCATTCATAAGATAAAGAGCTGATGTATTATTCAGGATGCACTATGCTACACTTTGAAAACAGATTAACACTGAAGTCTCAGTGGCTTAACACAAAATGGTATTTCTCACTCAAGTACATGTCTAGCACTGATCCACAGAGGAGCTCGGGTCCACATAGTCACTCAGAGTCCCCCGCCAACAGACATTAGTGTGGCAAGCAGTGACTGCACTGCTGGGGTCCCCATGGCTCCTACATCAAACAAAGTGAGGGAATGGAGAACTCATGCTCTCTCATTTGGCCTTAGAAGTGTTAAAGTGTTAAAGAAGCTTACCCACCTAGTTTCAATGGTGCTGGGACATATGGAAGGCATGTAGATATTTAGTGTGCTGTAAATATCTCTCCCACAGTTACAATAGAACCTAGACTCATCCAAAATAATTATTGAGAGATACAAAATGATGTAAATTGAGAAATTTATCTAAGTTTCAACATTCTTGGAATGTGGTAGGAGGTTCCCTCTGAGTTTTAAGTGAGATTAGATGAATCCTGTCCCTTGAAGTGCATTTTTCTCTTTCATTAATGTTTCTGGGGCACAGTTCTCCTTGGGTCTCTTATATTTCTGCACATCTTGTAAGTAGAAGAACTAACTTCTTTCGTTCCAGACTATCTCTTCAAAAATGCTGGTATAGTGAGTAGCCTTGGAAAGATGTGTGTCATACTCTGGAGCAAAGGGCAGGCATGTTCACTTTCCAGTATACAAGATTTGGCTTTCCTAAGGTCAGGTTCAAATCCTCTTATGCAATCCACGGGCATCCACCTGGGCCTATTTGTGTTGCCCTTGTGGGACTTGAGGCAAGGGGAACTGCTGCAAAAATGCTGGTTCCCTGGCTACTGCTATTGCTATAAGTAATCATCTTCCCTTCTTCTGTCCCGGGTTCCTGTTTTCTTCCACCAGCATCTATGAGACTGGTGGGTAAACTTATGACCTTGTAAGTAGGGTAAAATCCCAGACCCTTCATAATTCTTTTTAAATGTAAATAATAAACACATCTAATACATGACAAAATATGGCTGATGAGAACTGTAAAGTTCATCTAACGAATATCAGTTATGTACCTGGTATATGTGAGATATGAAACCAGGTGTTAGAGAATGTAAAGATGAAAGGATATGGCCCTGGTACTCAGGTCATTTACAGTCTTGTTGCAAGATATACACGGAAATAACAATTACAATACAGTATCAGAGCCATTGTAATAAAATGCTGTACAAAATGTTGTGTGATGCTTAAGCAGTAAGTGTAGTCTAATCCCCTGAGAAGGCTATATGTTGAGGAGATAATATCTTAATCCAAATGTGAGATGAATACAAGTTCACCAGATAGTCATTTTTCTGACTTCTAAGCAGCAAAATGTCATGAGTAAAAGTCCCAGGGTGTGGCCTGTTTGGGGAACAGCAAGCCATCCAGCATGGCTGAAGTTTTACCTGCAAGAAGGCAGAGAGTAAATGGCTAAAAGGGTGGGGTTGAGAGGTGAGCGGCGACTGAGCTGTGAAGGTTTTTATAAGCCACAAAGAGTACTTTGGTTTCATCCTGCAGGCCATGCAGAACTATTTAGGTTAAACCTAAAAAATATATAAAGTAATGGGAATTTGTGGTTACGAGATTCTCTGAAGAAAATAAGAAAATAAGAAAGAAAATAAGATTTTCTGAAGCAAATCTTACTCTTTCTAAAACAATATTTGCTTTGCTCACCTTCCTTTCCATATGAGGTCATTCTTTGATATTGAGAATTAGTTTTTTAAAATTTTTTATTGTTGTTCAATTACAGTTTTCCCCATATGCCCCCATTATTTTTTCTTGTTACTAAATGAATTCTCTGTAATATTGCGTATTGCCCTTAAGTGGATATTTAAGCCAGTTTTGAAATTGCAGCTAGATAGCCAAGCTATAACAAAGCTTTATCATCAAAACTCAGTTGTATTTGTTAGACCTAAAGCTAGTGAGAAGGGTGTGAGATTTTATTAAACTATAATTAAATTCTTTTTTCAAAGGGGCAGGGTCTTTACTATTTCTGTAATAATTTTTTCTCTCTTGGCAGGCTAATTTTTTAATTTAATTTTTATGTACTGTTCTGATAAAATACATTTGGATTCTTTCCTCTAGTATTTCTGAAAAGACTTAAATTGAAATAACAGTTGGCAGCCCATGTGAAAAGTAAGTGTGTCATCTGTATATGTAACATAGGTTAAATTTAACTTGGTGGTTCAAAAAAATGTTTACCTATTCCTTCAAGATGTGGTGGGCGCCCTTCTCTGAAGAATAGGGTTTTCCTTGTAATGAGGTAGAGCCGGGTGCTGGGAACCCAGGGCATATGTGTGTGAAAACATTCCTGGTATTTGCTCAGGCACTTGCCAAGTCTGGTGAAGAGTGAGAGAGACACTGTCTTATGCTGTTATTGGAATTTACAAATGCAAGGCAGGTGTCATAGCTGCTAACCTTTTGGCTCTTTCAGTTACTCTGGAAAAGCAATTAAGTAAAGGAAAAATCTATGAACAGGTAGGTCAAGGCATATCTTATAACATTCAACTGTTGGTAACCATGTTGGAATCACAGAGATGATGTCATAGTTTAGTAATCTCTTATACTATAGTTTGAAATACTCTACTGACTCTCAAATGATGACTCAAACTGGAGCTTTACTGACCTTCAACTAGAAAACTGTTTACCTGTTGTGATTTCAAGCATGCTACAAAGAATGCCTTGCCCCGCAATATAGTTTCCTAGCTACTCATCGGTATATGCAGGTAGACAACTCATTCCACAATCGGAGATGAAGCATAAGGTACAAATGCCCCCTAAGTAGGGCATTTTATACTTAATATGCCCCCAGGTGAGGCATTATGGTTTTAATACATTATATCATAAATGCATTGTAAAAGCAACTTTTCTTGACGGAGATTGGCAAGAAGGGTAAATCACTTGAGTACCAGATATTTGAAGGGGGAGAGGATTTGGAAGATGAGACAAAGGGTAGCTGGATATTCCAAAGACAAATAAAATGATATTAGCTAATGATATTTTTGCATGCCTATTATATACCAGGAATGCCTAAACTCTTTAAATGGATTATCTTCTTTACTCCACCCCAATAACCTGTGATGTAGGCACCACTCTTACCCTCCACCATAAAGAGGTGGCAGCTAAAGCACAAGGAGATTAGGTCACTTTCCCCAGGTTACATAATTGGAAACTTGTGGAGATTCCAATCCAGACAGTCAACACTAGAGCCTGCACTCTTAGCCATTATCCTAGACTTCATTTAAATCAAATTTTCACCATGTATCTTGGGAATTAGAACTCCCTGCATGGCACAAAGTAGTTGGCCCAGCAAACTGTGGTCAATTCACCAGAGGAGTCATAGGGTAAATAAATATAAATATGTGTGTGTGTGTGTGTGTGTGTGTGTGTATACACACACACACACATGCATTTGTATAAAGATATTTATATTTTGTTTATGTTATATTTATATTCTAAATATAGTTATTAATATATTTATGTAGTTAACATATAAGTATATATATATATTGGTCTTTCCAGAAAGTATCCAACCATGTAATATGAAAAATAGAGACATTTACTGAAGAAAATACAAGATACAAGAAACACTGTACATAAGACAATGATGCCTCAGTCCCCTTCAGCGTAGACACCTTAGGACCTCACCCAGTTCTCCCAGCATTTCGTCCAATGTTCAACATACTCTACAAAATCCTTTGTTGGAATCGCCATCAGCTGCTCCATTGTATTTTCCTGAATCTCATTGACAGTCTGAAATCTATTATCTTTGAAAGGTGATTTTAGTTTTGGGAAAAGCCAGAAGTCACAGGGCACCAAACCTGGGCTGTAGGGGGGCCTGAGTCACCTGGATGATTTGATGTTTTGCCATAAAACTCTGCAGGCCTTCCAGAGCATGGATCATTTTCAACAGATTCTCACCCATCTTTGAAGCATTTGTGCCACACTTTTATTTGTGCTGCACTCATTGACTCATTCCTGAAAGCCTTCTGAATCATCCTTCAGTTTCCATGAAGGAATGTTCAAACTTAATGCAAAATTCAATGCAGATTTGTTGCTCTACTTGCTCAGACATTTTGAATGTGATGGTCACACAACACAGTACACATGCTCACTCAATGGCATCTACCAGCCTCACTGACTAGTACAGTGAGGTCATCACTGTTTACGTACATGTACTCCAGTCCACTCTCCTTGACTGCCAGGTTACACTGACGTCATGTGAACCAGTCTCATGATATTAACAATGACTGAACAAAAATCTATATATGTGTAGTGGCTGAAAGTTTTTCTCTTCCTCCACCAACTTCCTAAGTTCTTTCTTCACTGTAAAAAAATTAAAATTCAGTAAATGTCTGAATGAATAAGCAACTTAAGCATCAAGGTTGTAGTTAGTGTCCTGAGTATAACACATGGCCAACATGCTCATCACGTTTTGTAATCCTCAGAGAAGCACAGTACCTTAACCCAGCAGTCACATGTTCCTCACTGAGAGATGAATAGAGGGGAGTTGGTCAGGAAAGTCTTTGGATGTATGAAAGGGGACATTGGAGTGGGGGAGATATTCCTCTGTTCAATTTTGTCTGAAATGAAGGGTAAAACAAGATTGGGTTATTAAAGTGAGTCTTTGGCTTTTGTATTTCTAAGACTCCCTTTTCTTTGCCACAGAGACTCTTTTTCTCTCATCTAGAAATGGCCTTACCTTCTACTTTATCTGCTTTCAAACAAAAGAGTGAGGGAAAAGCGTTAATATATTGAAATGTCTAAGAGCCCAAGCTTTAAACTTGAACTTGGTTTGGAATCCTGAGTCTACCATTTGCTAAAACCATGTTCCCGGGCAAATCACTACTGATTTTGAAATTTATTTTCTTCTTCTATAAAACACATATATCGAAAGGGAGTATTTATAGCTGTACGTAGCAAAACTCCCAAGTGTCCTCAGGCTGACTTTTCTCACCCATCCAGAAGTCCAGTGGTGAGCAGATGCTGATCTGGGCGCAGGAGCGTGACGACGTCAGCTGTCTTTCCTGCCATCGCCCAGCACTATTACCTCGGCGTGACAGACTGCTGCAACTCCTGATATTTCATTGTATTTAAGGCAGAAAGAAGATGGAAGGGTTAGATAAATATTAAATTATATAATACTATATAAAAATGCTAATTCTGGGCCTATTACATGGAAAGTATTAATAAAAGGCAGCTATAGTTATCACTGCCATTTTGCATGCTGTCATTAGCAAGAAAGGTAACGACACCCTGTACAGACTCTCATCTAGATAAAATCCAAAGTTGCAGACCTTCTTTCTGCCACTTTCTGTCCAATCTCATTTCTGACTGCGTCTTCATATTGGCCACAGTAATAAGTAACTGCTTCAGTAAAGACTAAGTGCTTGCAGTTCTTCCTCATACCAACCATTCATTCTGCTTCCCCTTTTTGTGCATATCTATCCTGATCCCTGCAGGGACCTGTCCACTTACTGATTTACCTACCTAGCTCTTACCCATTCTCTAACACCTGCATAGGTTTTCCTCTCTGGCAGCCCCACTCCAAGTGGGATTAGAGCCCCCCCCTTTAGGGCCCCCCAGGACCCTGATTGCATCACTATGGTAGATTTTATAAGAGGGTACAGGAATTTTCTCTACACTTGATGGCCTCCTGTGGAGTTTCTTGAGGTTTCAACCAGCTTTCCTTCTCATCTTGCTGTTCCCTAAATAGTTGACAGTCAGTATGTGTTTGCTAAACACAACCAAGGAGTCATGTTGTGTCTTCTCTAATTTTCAGTACCCTCCACCCAAAGTTCTTCATAAACATCCCTCTCGTCTCTTCTTTTTTTCTTCCCCTCTCTCAGCGGTTACGATCATCTTTTCAAGAAATAATAACTGGATCATGATTTATTTCTCAGTGTTTTGGAAAATAAACATTTACTTGGATAGCTTGAGCTCGTGTTGATTCTGACTGCCAGCAGCAATGAGTTAAAAATGGAACTACGTAAACTAGCTACAGAAAGAATCTCTGTTCTTTGGATTTTCTGATAGTTCAATTGCCATGGAAACAGCCATCCCCGGTGTTAGCTCATTAGGGTTTTTTTTCCTTAAATAATTTGGAGGACAGCCATGGTCCACAGTAGACTACTTCATGGGAAAGATCACACTCAACATCCCCTTCCTCAGGCTACACTCTGCGCTGAACAAGAAAGCAGCAGTTCTTGAACATAACACATTTTATTTAAGATCGAATTACTGTAGCAAGTAGTTCACTTGATTTTTTTTAAAGTCTTTTTTCTGGAATATATATATGAAGTCAGAAGAGAAATAAATTTTCAATATCTAATAGATATATTTAATCTGTGCAATTACTTTACAATCTTAATTCAGATTTATATGAGATACAAGTACACATATTCTAAAAGGGAAGAATTGGCTTTTCATAGTTTTGTCCAGGGGAGAGAATTCTCTGTCCCTGGGGAATATGTAAAATGAAGTACACAGAAGATAAATCTTTTTATAGATGACTGAAGTTCTGTTTTCAGCTAGTTTGGAAAGACTTTCACCCAAAATCAGAAGAGTCACCAGAGAATGTTAAAAGTTCTCACCTGACTTTGATCAGGGCAGGCTGGCTGAGTGGCGGTTTATTCAAATTGCAAACTTTGTTTCTGTAGAGAAATATCTTGAATATTGTGTTACGTGCTTAAGTTTCCTACTAAAGGAATTAGAAGAATTTATTTCTCTCATTCTGAGACAGACGAGTAGCAGCTCGATTGCAACTGTTTTAAAATGTGGCTATTTGACTTTAAAGAAGTTCAACCTGCCTTGGACACACCTACAAATTTGATAAAGTGGGCCTCCCATTTCATATTTTCCATAGGTTGAATAATTAGGGTGTGGATATTTCTTTATGAAAACTGTTGCTCCGAAAAGATGTGAAAATTATTCAACGAACCCAAATGTGTGCTAATGGCTAGAGAATTTTCACTTGAAAAAGAATCAACACCTTCTCTTCAAACTGAAGTAAAAGTTGGGCGTGAGAGAAGTGGCTACAGTCTCCCTTAATTGGTAATTTTGCCTCTAAACTTGTCCCATCTTACAAATTAGTTATTCTAAATTCACATAATTCTCGAAGAATTTGGGACTCTCACACAAATGTGGTGGCTTACGTGGGTTATAATGTTCCTCTAGGCAAGAGAGGATTAAGAAAAAGGAGCCTGTGGACTTGACGAGGACACCTTTGGCTATTTTGGCAAATGAACCTGCGGAGACATCTTATAATAAGCAGTTAGAAAGGGCATTCAGGGCTGAAATTCAACACCAGAGAGTAAACACAGCCCATCCATCGAGGATCGGAGGTTGTAGGGTTGAAATAGGTGCCCATGCACGTAGGCCTAGAAAAAGCGAATCTTGTGAAATAGAGAGATCCTATTAAAATTCTCCTGTGTTTGTGTTGTTAGAAAGCTTTTCTGCTGACCTTTGCTATCGTATCCTTGCTAGTACTTGGAATAATGTTTATAAGAGTAGAAAAGAAATGCTAATTAATTACCAAATCAATTCAATAATATTTGCTAAAAAACTTCTCTCCAGCTTTCTTGAGATATAATTGACATATTACATAGAAAACATTGAGTTAACTTTTTAAAATCAGTGTTATTCACTCAGCATTCAGAAGAACATTGATTTTTGTACTTACTATGAGCCAGGCACTCTGCTAAGTGTTAGGAAATGAACATGAATAAGACTTCATCCTGGCCAGTTAGCTTGGTTGCTTAGAACATCATCTCAGTACACCAGGGTTGCATGTTCAATCCTTGGTCAGGGCACATGCAAGAATCTACCAATGAATGCATATATACATGGAACAATGAAAAAACAAATTGACCTTTCTGTCTGTCTCTCTCCCTCCCCCCTTTCTCTTTCTAAAATAATAAAAAAAAGACTTACAGAACTTGTAATCTAGGAGAGGAAATACAGGGCTGGGGCAAAAGACTGTTGTAAGTATGTGCAACAGAATTTATTCCTGTATTATTAATTACTGTATTCTTTTCCATGTGAACAACAGTAAACCTACTTTTGCCCACAAGTGAAGAACATAATTGTAATAAGATGCAATGATGGAGGCTTGCCCAGTAGACTAAAGGTCAAATTTTAGTTCCCAGAAAGGAAGTTCAGGAGGAGGTATTTCCCTTTAATGTATCTTATCTGCAGAAAATAGTCAGTAAACATTCATAGATACCTGTGATACTGAAAATAAGCACTGGTTGAAATCTGTTATTCTTTCTCCTTATTCTTCCTTATAGTTTCAGGCTTAAAATAAAAACTGCTTTGGGGATATGAAATGTACACAAAAGTGCTTTATAATCTGTAAAGCATGATGCAAATATATGGTATAATCACCATTTGCAAACATTATTTGTTCTGCCTTTCAAAGCAACAGTGCTAGACTGATTCTGGCAGACTTTGGCCATTTTTTCTGGAGCCAGACAACAGGGACCAAACTTAGTAGACACACATTCAGACAAGAGAATGTATTTATGTAATTTAAAATATAAACACATTTCTGGGAATCCCCTGCCTTCTGAACTATTTTCCGACATCATAACAAGTGTGGTTTTTTTCTTCAGCGAGGAAACTACAGCACCTCATCGATAGCTAGCTTGTAATCATCTAGACAATTAGGTAGAAATTTTGATTCTCAAGTAATATAATCCTATTTATCATCTCAGACATCTCAGACTTTATGCTTTTGAATGAGGGTTGTTCTTTTAAGATGGTACTTTTTAGAGGTTATATCCTTATTTCACTTCTCAAAGTTATTTGTGAAGTCATCTTTTAGATTGTTTTTTAGACATTTTGTTAAAATGGCATTTAGTTTATTTCTACTGTTATAAAGATATAATACATTATACAATATTCAAAACTTTGGTAAGAAAAAAAATTTGAACCATCTATATTTCCATATCCTATATAAGTTTTAATATTTTAATGTGTCTTCTACTTTCTAATTTTTAAATGGGATCATGCTGTAATATTGTTTTGAAATTATTTACTCCATTTAAAATGTGGTATATTATGTATATGTATATGTATATATGTACATATATATATACACACATGATATAACTTATCTAATCAATTCTTTATTGTTTTGAAATTATTTACTCCATTTAAAATGTGGTATATATATGTGTGTGTGTATATATGTATGTATATATACACACACATAATATAACTTATCTAATCAATTCTTTATCATTTGACACATGTTATTTCTCTGGTTTTGTTCTATTAAAAAAAGAACACTATAGTTAACATGCTTATAGCTTAATCTTCATTTCTAGCCAAAATTATTTTCTTTAACTTACTGACAGTAAAATTGGCTAACCAAAGAGGATCCATATAAACTACCCTCAGCAGTGTATGCCTGATTCCTAAACCCTTGTTAAATTTAAATGTTGTTTATAAAGTATTTTTCAATTTATAAAGTAAAAAATATTCAGTTCCCAAATCATTTTTGTAATTTTACTTCCAAAAGAATTTTCTTATACTAATGGGGTTAAACTTATATTTACTGCTCATCTCATTTCTTTCATCAGTTGCCTGTCAGCATCTTTGCCCATGTTTCTGTTGATGTGCTCTCTTTTTTCTTTACTTATAGGAAGATTTGATATAGAAAGCTAGTATAAAATACAAAATACACATAATATACAAAGAATACATATTAAACAAAGTATATATGTGTCATAGCTACTATACCTAATTTTATTTTATTTTTTATAATATGTAAGCTAGACTAGCCCTGGCTGGCGTAGCTCAGTGGATTGACCACAGGCTGCAAACCAAAATGTCGCTGGTTCGATTCCCAGTCAGGGCACGTGCTTGGGTTGCAGGCCAAGTCCCCACTTGGGGGGCACATGAGAGGCAACCAGACATTGATGTTTCTCTCCTTCCCTTCCTCCCTCTCTAAATATAAATCAAAATAAAATCTTAAAAATATATATGTAAGCTAAACTTTAACATTTAAAATTAATTCTAAGTAATTGTTTTAATCTTATTTTAATAGTCTCAAATACTTCCTTGTATCCTTTAAACAGGTAGGTTCATATTGAGGGAAACAGTACAAAGTATTTGATACTAATATTGCAACTATGATCAATAACGTAGTTGGGCAATGTAATTGGAAAAATTTTTAATTAGGTTATAATGAAGTATTAAGATAGCTGCATGTAGGACTAATCAAATGGTTTTTAATGAATTTATTTTATTGTTATGTTACAACATGTATTAAATCTGTTCTGTTTGGTTAGAACTTACATAAGCTGCATGTAATTTTTAAAAGAAACTACTGGTATTATGGTTACTTTTGTTAAGAATTCTAGACATATGCTTCAGTTTTAGATTCAGCTGGGATTCCGATCACATGGTCTTGCTGTGTGGGTTCCAGACCCGGGTCTCTCTCGGGTTCTGTTATTACTGGCACTGTTGCATCTATTTGTATTGCCTTTCTCTTCAAACAATCCATTTAGAGTCACACGGGGCGGGGTAGAGGTGGTACAGCTTCTCTGGTCCTGCTCTACCCTGGCCCAGCGTATTACGTAACATCAAGTTTCTCCCCTCGTGTTCCCAGGAAAGAGCCCCACTGTCTTTCTACCTTGGTAAGTATGCATTCTAAATGTACTGCCTTTAAATCACAAAATTCATAATTACACATTCACTCTTTAGAATCAGATTTTATCTGTAGTTACAGAACACCTGCTGATACCTTTCTTTGTGCCCTTAATCCAATATGAACCCCCCATCCCATGAGCAGTACTACCTTAATCCATCCTGACTTTACCATTTGTGTACTTTTTAAGTTCGTCATGCACTGGAGTTCTGCTCCCCCGTCCTTCCCTTGCCTAGTATAACCACACAAAGCAAGGAACAATGTTTTTGCTCTGATTATATGTTAGAAAAGTGTTCACATTAGTGCCATTACCCAGTCACTTCTATGTCTAGTTGCACGGCACCCAAGCAAATTTCTGTTAAATGAGCTGAGCAATGTGATAACTGGTAACAAGTACAAAAAGAGTGAGTGAGGCAGGCTGGACTAATCGTGAAAGGCTTCACCAAGTGGAAGAATCCAGAGATACACTCTGGGGACCTTGGTTTTTTGTTCACAGTTCACCCTACCTCCTTTCCCCTAGCCATGAACCCTGTCCTCCTCTATGGCAGGACTGTACTTACGTGTCTCGTTGATGTTGGGCTTGGTCGTGTGACTTGCTTTCACTATGAAACAGGGGCAGCAGTGACTGAGTGCTAGTTCTGAACTAGACCTTAAGAGAAATCACGTATTTCTTTTTAGTTTTCTGTGCTTCTGTCCCAGTTCACTGAAGCATCTGAGAAGGACATGAACCACCTGGCAATTCAAAGATAAAATCCACCTGAGCCCAACAGCTGTCAGCCAAACCTCAACTGATCTACCAACGGTGAGTAAGAAAAACAAACGTCCGTGTTGCAATTCATTGAATTGGGAGGTTGTTTGTTCCTGGACCTTACTGCAGCAATACCTGGCTGATGAATAGTGTGAGAAACGGTTAGGTCTGAGACTGCGAGCATCTCCCCTCTGTCTCTTCTGCTGCTGCTTCAGGTTTTCATCCCACCTCCTCGGACTGTTTTTAAAACTTCCTATAGTTTTTCACATCTGTATTAGCCAGAGTAGCCCAGTGGCTATTAGAAGATTATCCCAAATTTACAGTGTCTCAAACACAATACGTGTTTACTTCTTGTTCACCTTACTATACTATTATCAATGGGCAGGTGGCGACCCCCTTCCACACAGTCGTTCAGGGGCCACGACTGGTGGAGCTTTTCTATTTCCTACCTGTATCTTTCTACATGACCCCCTGGGCTGTCTCCATCCCTGCCAGCGAGGAAAGATGATTTTAACGGATGGTACTTTGTAGTGCTGTCCATCATTGCTGCCCATGTTCTGTTGGTTTGACTCCATCATACAGTGACGTCGAGATGCAAATCAATCAATAAATAAATAAATCAAGGCCTAGATAATGTGAGTATAGCTGAGGGCACAGGAAAAAATGAGAACATTGGTTATGATGAGCAGTTTATAATCTCTGCTGCACCATCAGTTGTTTAATATGCTTTTTAAACTAGAAGTACCAGTTCTAAAAATCCAGTGTGATGTTACCTATCTGCTTAAAATCTACGGTCCTGGCTGCTACAGATTCGACACCACTTAGCATAAGTATGATTCTCACATAGAGAGCTTCTGGTTTCATGAAGCACCAACCCAGAAGAACAGGTGAACCCAGCACTTCTTCGACTTCTTCAGAAAATAATCCTGTCATCCCAAATTATTAACAAGCAGTTAATACCTATAATTTCACAGGAGAGGTAAGGTCATTTACCATATGGCAAACAGCTCAATGAATCCTCCTCACAATTTTCATTCTCTTCCAGTCTTATTTTTCAGCTGTGTGACCACTTAAGGGCTTTTTATTTTATCCCTGGACTAGATATACCAAACATGCATAACCACACTCATCATCTCATCCAGCAAAATAATAAACACCCTTTTGTTGCCGGTTCTATCTTCTCAGAAAGCACTGAAGGATCAGAGATTGTATTTTTCCCCCGACAGACATTATATCCAAAATGTTTCTGGCTGGCTCATCTCTGCTTTTTTTAAATGCCATTCCAGTTTTCCCCTTTCTGTTCTTCTATTCAATCACGTACTTCAATCATGCCGAACTCCTCATTAAGCCTCCAACACATTTTGGGTTTTTCCTGTCTCCGGGGCCTTTGTCGAGACTACGGCCTCTGCTCAGAGGTCTTTTTTCCTGCCTCTACACGTCAATACCCCGTAAGTGCTCTATGGGCTAGCTCAGCTATCTCCTTCATTGTAGAGTCTCACCTTCCCTTATTCCACTGGCCCATTGTCACAGAATTTATCGTTCTTCTGTGATCTTGTAGAATTCTCTACACTCCTCTATTATCATACTTGTTACACTGTTTAATGTGTAGGTCAGGTATTGAGCTCCCAAGAATAGAGGCCATATCATCTTTGAATTCTTAAGGAAGTACCTAACATGCAGCTGGAAACAGTTTCTCTGCAAATGTTTGTTGCTGCAGGAAAAACTGCCCTGAGAGTGAAAAGCTGTCCAAGAGACTGGGAGGCTTTTGGTTCACAGGCAAACGTTTAGTAACTAGTCTGGAACGCAGAGCACTCCCAGGGGGAAGCCTTCAGGATAACTGTAATTCTTTCCCCCGAAGTGTTATCATTGAAGGGGGGGAAATGGAGCTATTTTAATATGCTAGTTTCCAACAGGTTCTTAAATTACACTTTCGGTGAAGAAAATGCTGAAGGAGAAAATGCTGAGTGAAAAGAGAATACTGAGCCAGAAGCTAGGACATTCCAGAAATGTTATGAGATTTAAAATGTGTAACTTCCCCCCTCACTTCCTGGGTTTACATGCATTTAATACAGCCTGACCTATTAAACTCATCCTGGGTTTCCCCGTGGATAACGTCCCTTTCAGACAAATTATCTGTTTAATGTAACAGAGAGATAATCATATATCCCTATCAATTCTGTATTTTATTTATTTCTACTCTAATCGTATTTGCTTCCTTCTTTTTGTTTTAGATTTGATTGGCTCTTCTGTTCACCAGTGTCTTAGGTAGAAAATTGTGTTATATAATAATTTAGATCTTTCAAATGTATACACTTACCAATAAAGATTTCCCTGTGAGTGTTGTTTAGCTGCATGTCCTGAATTTGGTTATGTTTTATCTTTGTTTTCATTCATCTCAAAGTATTTTTTTAGACTTTATTTATTTTTAGACAGAGGGGAAGGGAGGGAGAAAGAGAGGGAGAGAAACAATAACACGTGGTTGCCTTTCGTGTGCCCCTAACAGGGGACCTGGCCTGCAACCCAGGCATGTGCCCTGACTGGGAATCAAACCGCGATACTCTGGTTCGCAGGCCCAAGCTCAATCCACTGAGCTACACCAGCCAGGGTAACTTTTTATTTTAAAGTCTAGTTTTCCTGATGTTAGTATATAATTCCAGTATTCTTCTATTTCCTGTTTGCATGACATACAGGGTCCAGCACAAATAATGTCCCTTGTTTATTATAAAATCTCTTATTACAAAATCATAAGCATGTAATTCTGTAACGTAACAATTCCACACTCAAGCATAGCATATGGCATATTAGGTAAAATGTTCAAAATAAAACTATAAATTACTACAGCCATATTATTATCCTACTAACCACACTCGCACAGGTGTTACTTCTACCAGACCCTGTATTTTCCCACCCTTTTACTTTCAACCTATTTATATCTTTTAATCTAAAGTATAGGCAGCATATATTTGGATCTTATTAGTTTATCCAGTCTATCTATGCATTTTGATTAAACCATTTTATCCATTTACATTTAATGTTATTATTGATATAGTTGCATTTATTTGACACTTTATTTTTGTTTTTTATGTCTCGTGTCCTTTTTGTTCCCCTATTCCCCTTTTACTGCTTTTCTTTAATTAAATTAATATTTCTTTTGTACATGTTAATTCCTTTAACCATTGTATCATATTTTTATGAGTTTTTAAATGATTCTTCCAGTGTTTACCATATACATCTTACCTTATCAGACTCTACTTCAGATTTATACTAACTAAATTCCTGTGGGGTATAGGAACATTGCTATATATAGCTCTGGCCTCTTTTGCCCTTTTGTTGCCATTATTGCTATACCTATTCTATCTATATATGTTACAAACCCTACAATCCATTATTACAACTACTACTTCATCTAAGTATGTCCATTAGAGAAGCTGAAGAGAGTATATATTTATGTAGGTATGTTAACCTTTTAATTTACCATTTGTGTTTTTCTTCATTTGTCCCTAAGAATTCATATCACCATCTGCTATCATTTCCTTACTCCCATACAACTTTGCTTGCATGTACCTCCTCTCATAAAATTATGCTTCTTGCCCTAGCTGGTCAGGCTCAGTGGATTGAGTGCTGGCCTGCTAATCAAAGGGTCACTGGTTCGATTCCCAGTCAGGGCACATGCCTGGGTTGCAGGCCAGGTCCCCAGTGGGGGAGCATGAGAGGCAACCACACACTGGTGTTTCTCCTCCTCTCTTTCTCTCTCCCTTCTCTTCTCTAAAAAAATAAATAAAATCTTTAAAAAAATTTTTACTTGGGCCATGTCTTCTCAAAATGCACTTACTTTTTTTTAAAAAAAATTACACTTCTTTATACTGTAGACTCGACAACATACATATCAGTTTCTAAGGTTTTTTAAATTAGCTAACATGAGGAGACTATGCCGTCATGCTTTCTTTTATAGTTACATCATCACCATTACTGAAACTCTTTGATTTTTTAATATGAAATAAATTTATTATCTGGGGTCACTTTCTTTCAGCCTAAAAAACTTAGTATTCTCATAGGATGAGCCTGCTAATGTCAAAGTCTCTCTGTTTTTGTTTCTCTAGGAATGTCTTTATTTTGCTTTCTTTTTTGAAAGATTACTTTACTTGATGTAAAATTCCCTGCACATTTACTAACATCCCACTGCCTTCTGGCTTCCACTGTTTCTGATAAATCAGCCGTCATTCTTACTGAGACTCCCTTGTACAAGCCACAGCCAACTAGCCTACCAAAATGACACCTCTGCCTCTTCTTTACTTTGCAATGACAGTAATTAGCTATTGCAGGAGGACTCAGTAAGGAACTAAAATTTAATGAACACTTATGTGCAATACAGTACAAAGCTCTCTGACTCACAATAACCTTGTGAGGTTTTCCCATTTTACAGCTAAGGAAACTAAAGCAAACAGAGGACAATTTCAGTGTTTCCCAGCTAAGAAGTTGTAGAACTGGGATTCAAAATCTGCTCTTTATGAATCTGGAGCCTGTGCTATTTACATTACAATATGCTGCTTTTCCGACAGTTGGTCTCATAGACCAATAACCAAAGAATATTTATGCTTACTTGGTTTAATAAGTCTTTAATTAGCACCTAGGTATATTTTATATTTTGTTTTGTACTTTATATTTCGATAGACATTATGGGGAGCATGAAAGAATATACCAAAAACAACTTCTTGTTTCTGGAAGTTCATAAAAAAGAAATTAAGTAACAGTGTAGGACAATACACAATTAAATCCCAGAATAACACTGATGAATTATAGATATTGCTATAAGTCATAAATCATTAATAAATTACTAAACATATGGATGGCTTCATGGAGGGTTAATAGATTATCCAGAGGGATGCTATAGGCAAGAGGTCTGCCATTCATAAGCACATGTGGGTGAGAATGAGTACAACATGTTTAAAGACAGACATATTTAAAGGACAGAGTCCTGCGTAGAGCAGAGTGGAATGAGGTAAAATAGTGGATCAATGAGTAG